ATTTTTGCTTAAAACGATGGAGCGACTGATGGATCTATATATAAGAACCAAGCTAGACAAACAAGTGTTCAGTGGAGCTCAGCACGCCTACCTCAAAGGTAGATCAGTTGAGACCGCACTACACGAAGTTGTTGGGCATATCGAAAGGAGTCTAAGCTATAAGGAATATGCCTTGGTGGCCTTTCTAGATATAGAAGGGGCCTTCAACAACGTCAGGATCGAGTCAATAACGGCCGCACTGGCCAAGATTGGCACACACCCGACGGTAACCGGATGGCTAGACAGTGTTCTCAAAAGCAGAACGATAAGCGCCAATCTAGGCTCCTCCTCGTCAAGAAAGACGGTCACACGAGGTACTCCGCAAGGGGGAGTTATATCCCCTCTACTGTGGAACCTGGTCCTCAACGACCTCCTTCTTCAGCTGGGGAGGAGCGGATATAAGGTTACGGCCTATGCAGACGATTTAGTAATACTGGTAACGGGTAAATTTCTGCCCACAATCAGTGACCTTCTGGAATCTGCACTGGCCACTACCGCCAGCTGGGCACACCAGAACGGTTTGGGGGTCAATCCTCAAAAAACAGAACTGGTGCTGTTCTCACGAAGATATAAGATACCGAGTTTCAAACTACCAGCAATCGGTGGAACGACACTCGAGCTATCGAGCGAAGCCAAGTATCTTGGTGTCATCCTTGACTCCAAACTCTCCTGGAAGAGAAACACGGAGGAAAGGAAGAAAAAGGCAATGGCAGCTTTCTACACCTGTAGGAAGACTTTTGGACGAACATGGGGCTTACAGCCGCACATCATCCAATGGATGTATACAGCGGTAATAAGACCCATCCTGACATACGGAGGCATGGTATGGTGGACACCATGTTAGGCCTGGAACCGATAGACCTTCATCTTAAGTGTAAGGCTGAGACAAGTGCCGCTAGGCTATTAGCCGCGCAGTTCTTCAAGCCATCGCCTTATGGCCACGCCACTATACTCCGTATGGAAGATAGTGGAACGGCCAGGTGGAGTGACTACTGTGTCTCAGAGTTCTCATGGAAAAGAAACTTTAAAGGACACATACCGGATAGGGAGGAATGGAAGAGTAACACTGTCCTGGGGCAGAACGAGCTCTCCATTTTCACCGACGGGTCAAAGACGGCCGAAGGGACAGGAGCTGGAATCTTCTCCGAAGAACTAGCAACCAACATATCCCTAAGACTACCAGACTGGTGCAGTGTATTCCAGGCGGAGATATATGCAGTATGGCAAGCGGCAAAGTTGGTATACACCTTGGAGATACCTCCGAGGAACATAGCAATCTGCGTTGACAGTCAAGCTGCCATCAAAGCCCTGGTATCCTGCAAGACCACAAGCAGACTCGTACGTGATACGGTGGACGCACTAAACCAGATCAGCGCGCACTCGATCACACTCACGTGGGTTCCGGGTCACACCGACATAGCGGGCAACGAGAGTGCGGACGAGTGTGCCAGAAATGGATCGGCCAAGCCAATGGCGGACGCAGTCAGCGACATAAGGAGACCACTACGAGACATCATCTCGCAGATGATGGGCCGAGCCAGAACGAGATCGGACAGGAGGTGGAACACCACACCAAACTGTGAGATCTCTCGCTCGCTCTGGCCCCACTACGACCCTAAACGCACCAAGACTCTCCTAAGCTTCAGGAAGATTCGGGTGCGAACACTGACGGGAGTTATAACGGGGCACTGTGTCATCGGCCGCATGGCCACAAGGTACAGACTGCCCCACCATGACTTCTGCCGCAGCTGCGGGGACGAGGAGGAAATAGAGAGCATCCAGCACCTTCTCTGCAACTGTCCTGCACTCATGGGGAGACGTCACCGAATACTCGGTGGCGCCTTCTTCGAAGATCTGGACAGCCTGGCAAACATGCCTCTAGAGAAACTGGTGCTCTTTATAGAGGCCTCGGGATGGTTCGCGAAACCTCCCTAGGCACCGGACAATATCCCGTGACGAGTGTGGGCATCACAATGGGCAGACTTGCCTCCGAGTGACCTCGACTTCAGTCGAGCAGCCCTATAAACCTAACCTAACCTATCTAGGTAAATGTTTATAAATGTTAACTGCAATGAAATGATATTGAGGAATATGCTGCTGTTATTGTGACGCTTGGTGCTGCTGGGGTGGGCGTCACACTCCCCCCTCCCCTTCTAGGGTAGGTCGTCCGGATGTCCCCGCTGCGTTGAACCAGTCGCCGAGTCGTACGTCGCCCGACCTCCCGATTTTGACCCAGCATGCCCTGTCTGGTGTCTATTCGCTCCATAGCTTGAATCTCCTTTGGCTGTGATTCTTCCGGTCGTCTATCGCTCGTTGGACGGTCGTCACTTGTTTCTGGCTAAGCTTACACCCTGGGGGTACTACCCAGTCGCTGGGTATGGCGGCCTTTGTGTTTGCTGGTTTAGGCCGTGTTGTTGCCCGGCTGGGTGTCTGTGTGTCCGCTGTTCGTCGTGGCGTTTGGGCTTGCGTTGACGTGGTTGGTGTTTGGTCGGGCCCCTGTGCTTCTAGTTCTCGTCTCTCTGGTGGTCCTCCGAGGTCCAAGATATCCTCGTCGATTTCTGCCAGCTCGACTTGTCGTGACCAGCTGATCCGCTCGGTAGCCCTCGGTCGCGCTTGTTCTGGTCGTGTGGTGTTGGCCCAGCTGATCCGCTTCTTCGGGCCGGGACCGGGACCTTCGTTCCCGGCCGCCTCTAGTGAAGTTATCGGTGGACTGGATGTGGTCCCGCTGGCTTCCGTGGCTCAATGTGGTGCCACTACTTTGGTGCTGGACACCCTCATCCTTCCTCCTAGTTGTGGTGGCGCTGCTACCACTTGTACCTTGCGTTGTTTCGCCTTGGTTTCCTCCATCTGCTTCTTGAACTTGCGTGCGCTCTTGTCGAATTTATCCATGGTTCTGTTTGGTTTTTCTGCTTGTCTGAGATCAGCTGCTTTGGTGTTCCTGATCGTGCTAATATTTTCTTCCGGAACGCTTTTATGAATATATCGGCGGTCGCTTTCCTCGCTGGTGTAACCTCTACCCATTTCGAAAATTTGTCGATGAATACGATGAGTACTGTGTTCCCGTGTGATGTTCTCTGTAGGGGTCCTACGAAATCGACGCATATTGTTTCCCACGGGGCATCCGCGATTTTTGTGAGCATTTTTCCTGCCGCTGCTTGTTGCGATATCTTGAATTTTTGGCAGCTTTCACATGCGCGGATGAATTTCGTTACATCTCTGTTTATCCCTGGCCAAAAATATCGTTGTCGGACCCTTACTTTTGTGCGTCGTATCCCTAGGTGGCCCGCTGTTGGGTTCGTATGATTTTTGGCACGCACAGCTTCCAGGGTTGGCCGTCCTCATCCGTTTGGCTTGGTATGTGCCGGTATAAGCGGTTGTGTTTTATCGTGTAGTCTTCTGATAGTTTTGGGGTTGCTTTTACTTGCCTCCATTTTGTCTCGTACCAAGCGTATTCTACTTGTTCGGGCCAGCGGCTACTTAAGCGTCTATCACAATATTAAATGTAGCTGTAACTAGTATAAGAGTATCGAAACCTAAGCTTATGTATGTCCCCAGCGTTCGGCAGTGCTGCTGCGCTCTCCCTGTTAAAGGGCGCTCTGCACCTGCTGCGTCGGCTCTTGCATTGATCGGCCGTCGTGGCCCAAGTAGTTCTATGCTAATCTCTCGCCGCATAGGTTGCATACTGAACCCCCGCTTGTGAACATTTATCTGGCTGGGCAAAAGAGCGAGCAATTGGCTTCAGCTAGCCGCCGGTATAAATAAACATTATAACGTTTAAATCAAAGTCTTTAACTGATTTGGATAAATATAGGTGCCAAAAAAGCTTGGCATCTCAAACATTGGTGACCCCGACGTGATTTAACTACAATTTTTAATCGCGTTTCGTTTAAAAACTATAAAATTTGAATAAGATATTCGTTGCTGTGCCGTTTAACGACCAACAAATACATTTTGTGCAAATAAGAACAGTTAAAGTGCAAGTTCAGTGCGACTGCAGCCGTCTAATATTCCGTTGCTTAATCGCCAATTCTCTCTTGCTCTGCGCCGCTGCAGCCGCGGCCCTTGACTTTCCGTGTCTTCTATTCTCGCTCCCGTTCTTTCGCCGTCGCTTAAGCGGTCTTGCATTTTCCGTTGTTTCGTTGCATTACACCGGTTGGCATGGACAAGGAGCCGAATACAGGTGCGGGCGGAAATATTGCGATGGATGAAAAAAGGCTGAGGCTTTACAAGCGTAAAGTTCAGTCTCTGCATGATCGGCTGCAGCGTCTTGGCCAGTCATTCTCGGGGAATAAAATCGACAATTTAAGTGCGGCTGATATAGATGTGCGCCTCGATATGTTGGCTGAAATGCGTGAGGAGTTCAACAAGTCCCATAATGAGTTGGAATCACTGGATGAAGACGAGATTGGAAGTGAGCTGCGTGAAACGTTCGATACGCTCTTCATTTCTTTGAAAGCCGAGCTGCTGGCGGCTCTCGAACTGAACATTTGCGCGTAGCTGCTCATTCCACTAGCATGCCAAATAGCTCTGGAGGTCATACCATCATCATGGCTCACAAGCAGCGGCTTCCTAAGCTGAAGCTGCCTAGCTCTCCGGCGGCTATGTGGAATATGCGGATTTTATTGCCATGTTTAATTCGGTCATCGAAGGGGATGCAGATCTCAGTGAAATCGAGAAGTTCCAACATCTTCGCTCATGTCTCTCGGATGCGGCCCTGGATTCGGTTCGATCGTTGGAGCTCTCCAGTGCCAATTATCGTGTGGCTCTGGACATACTTAGCAGACGTTTTAATAATAAACGACTTGTTTTCCAGGCACACATCAAGGAGATTCTTGGGCTAAGAAGGTAGATTCGCATTCTGCTAAAAGGCTTCGGGAGTTTTCGGACGCAGTCAACTTGCATACGCGCGCCTGCAGACATTAGGAAGTGCTGAGGAGATATCTGGATGCATAATAATCCACATGCTGCTGCAAAAGCTAGATGAGAAGACCCAAACCAAATGGGAGGAGACTGCGTCATCGGACAGGATACCCACAGCTGGGGAATTCTACGATTTCCTGGAGAAGCGATGCCAGAAGATGGAGAACGTGCAATACGCTATAGCGACACACGCTGGTAGCGCTCAGGTGGGAAAAAGCCAGTCTACACACCTTAAGAAAACCTTTGTTGCCTCTAACTCTTCCGCCGACCCGTCTGGATGCCCTTTCTGCCATTCAGCGGGCCACGGAATATACTCGTGCAGCATCTTCACAAATTTATCTCCTTTTCAGCGTCACAAAGAAGTGAAGAAGCTGTCACTGTGTTTTAATTGCGTAAAATCGGGTCATCGGACTCGTGCATGCACAGGTGGCCAGTGTAGAGTTTGCGGAAGGAGGCATCATACCTTGTTGCACTTCGACTCATCTATAGCGCAAAGCTCCGCAGCTGGTTCTCCTCCAGAACGAGCAGTACAACCAGGAGCTATTACGCCGGTTCAGGATTCTGCCAGCAGTGTGCCGTCTCATGCGTCTACCTCTCTTGCTGCCCAAGGTCTCCACTCCGATATTGTGCTGCTGGCCACAGCTGTTGTTTTGGTGAAGAATCGATCTGGTGTTTTGGTTCCTTGTCGCGCTATTCTTGATTCAGGATCTCAGCTTCATCTCGTTACCTCCAGGTTCGCCCAGCAGCTTCAGCTTAGGAGAACTCAATCGTCTGCCCTTGTTTCTGGTCTGGGCGATACTAGCGTGTCCACTGAGGGATCCACCGTCAGCATTTGCATGCAGTCTCGCACTTCGGACTATTCGACGACACTCACTGCTCTCATCGCACCCACAATCACAGATAGCCAACCAAGTCTGGCAGTTAATGTAGCCGATTGGAACATTCCCCTCCAACATTCAGCTTGCCGATCCCGCATTCTTTAATCCTCAGCGAGTAGATCTCCTCATTGGCGCGAGCATATTCTATGACCTTCTCTGCGTAGGGCAAATCAAGCTCATAGATGGATTGCCTCTTCTGCAGAAGACCCGGCTTGGGTGGATCGTATCTGGTGGTGGACAGAGGGTAACAAGCTCGTCGCTTTTGGCAACCCAAAATTCTCCGGATTCGGAGGATAGAATGAATGCAAGGTTGGATCGAACTCTTCGTATGTTTTGGGAAGTTGAGAATTGTGCGGAGGCTAGCTTGAGTACAAAGGAAGAAGCGGATTGTGAGGCGCATTTCGTAAGCCACTTTTCACGGTTGCCATCAGGGGAGTACTCTGTTCGACTGCCTTTAAAGCATGATGCTGATCACTTGGGAGAGTCCTATACTCAGGCGTATCGACGATTTCTCAGCTTGGAGCGAAAACTGGATCGTAATCCCGCGCTCAAGGAGCGTTACTCAGCTTTTATGAAGGAGTACACTGATTTAAAGCATATGTCCAAAGTCCATCCTGACTCACGTAGCCTCTGCAAGTATTTTCTGCCTCATCACTGCGTTTTAAAGGAGGATAGTACCACGACGAAGCTCCATGTCATTTTCGATGGCTCTGCAGCTACATCAACTGGATGCTCCTTAAATGATGTGATGATGACAGGTCCTGTTATTCAGCCAGCATTGTTTAACATACTGATCCGGTTCCGCACATATCCCGTCGCTCTCACTGGTGACATTTGTAAAATGTACCGCTGCGTAAAGGTATCTCCGCCCGACAATTTTCTACAGTGTATCCTATGGCGAGATTCCATCCAGTCCGAGGTTCAGGTCTACACATTAGACACCGTCACATACGGTACGAGGGCTGCATCGTTTTTAGCGGTCCGCGCAATGCACCAGCTGGCCATCGACGAGGGTAATCCCTACCCTCTTGGCTCAGCTGCTCTGCAACAGGAGTTCTATGTTGATGATCTCATCTCTGGCGGCAACTCGGTCGCAGAGGTCATGGAAAAGATGCGCCAAACTTCAAGTCTACTGTCTTGCGGTAACTTTAAGCTTAGAAAATGGTGCTCGAGTAACAAGGAGGTGCTTGATGGAATTCCGGAGGACGACGTGGAGAAATTTCTACGGTTTCATGATGGAAGCGACATTACCAAAACTCTTCGTTTAGCTTGGTACCCTGCGTCGGATCAGCTGCTGTTTGCCTTGTCCGCGCTGGACTCGAATTCAAGGCCCTCCAAGCGGTCGGTTTTGTCAACTATTGCGCGTTTCTACGACCCTCTTGGATTGATTAATCCTGTTATTGTCAGGTGCAAGATCTTTCTTCAGCAGCTTTGGAGAGAACATTTGGACTGGGATGAAAGCCTACCGACAGCGCTGCACTCAACTTGGATTGACCTGAGAAACAGTTTGGCAAGCATCTCTCGCATTTCCTTTCCTCGCGTTGTCCATAATTCCGGCACAATTGTAGAGGTTCATGGATTTTGTGATGCCAGCATGGAAGCATATGGTGCTTGCATATATGTCGTGTCCAGGCAAGGGGAGTCGTCGAGCAATGTTTTGTGCTCAAAGTCTCGAGTGGCGCCACTAAAATCATTGTCGATTCCAAAGCTGGAATTGAGTGGAGCCCATTTGCTTGCGAAGGTTATGCGCAACTTAAAGGAGACGGGAATTTTCCCAGGTCAGTTTTACTGCTGGTCGGATTCGTCTACGGCGTTATCTTGGATTCGGGATGAGCCAGCCAAATTTCAGGTTTTCGTGGCAAATCGAGTGGCAACAATTCAGGAGTTGACGCAAGGCATGGAATGGCGCTATGTTCCCACATTGTTGAATCCCGCTGATATGCTCTCCAGAGGCTCGCTTCCCTGCTACCTCATCCAGTCAGAGCTGTGGTTTCACGGCCCCCTCGTTTTTGTTAGGTTCTAAGGATGAGTGGCCTGTATCTGCCGTTTCTGAAACTCCGACCATTGAGCTTCGCAAGCGTGTATTGCTGATCGCGTCTCCACATGCCGATCTCACGTCCGGATGCAAATTTGCTAATTCTTTCTTTGGCATGCAGCGCACATTCGCCTACATGCATAAATTCGTTCATCGTCTTAGGCATCCTGGACTCACGGTTTCTGACATACAGCAAGGAACGCATCTTCTTGTTCGACACGTTCAGCTGGCAAGTTTGTGGTCGGACATAAAGGAGATTAGACGCAATGGGCAAGTCAGGAAGTCTAGCTCCATCAGTTCGCTATCTCCGTTCATCGATCCGTCGGGTTTACTTCGAGTTGGAGGTCGTCTCGGCAACTCATCGCTCCCGTTTAATGCTCAGCACCCGCTTATTTTGCCCAAGGGACATCCCGTAACATCTGCAATGATAAGCTATTATCATCAACGGAACCTCCATGCCGGACCTCGCGCCTTGCTTGCTAAAATTCGATTAGAATATTGGCCTATTGGAGGAATCAAAGCCGTCTCGAAAGCGGTTAGCAAGTGTGTAAGATGCTTCAGAACGAGGCCGCGCATGGTTGAGCACATTATGGGGGACTTGCCTAAGGAGCGTCTGGAAGGATCGCGGGCCTTCGAAGTAACTGGAGTGGACTATTGTGGACCCTTTTTCTACCGATCAGAAATCCGCACGAGGCCTCCGATCAAGTGCTACATAAGCGTGTTTATTTGCTTCACATCTAAGGCCATACACATGGAGCTTGTTAAAGATCTGACCACCGCATCGTTCCTAGGCGCACTGAAACGTTTTACGTCCACTCGAGGAAGGCCAAGCCATATTTGGTCGGACAATGTACAAATTTCGTTGGCGCTAAGAATGAGCTTCTGGAGCTGAAGAAGCTTTTCCTGAGCGACTCGCACATGAAAGAAGTCGATGAATCCTGCTTGGCTGACACCATCGGCTGGCATTTCATCCCCCCGCGCTCTCCGCACTTTGGCGGATTGTGGGAAGCGGCCGTGAAGTCCGCAAAGTATCACCTGTACCGCTCAGTTGGGCCATCCATCTTTAGCTTCGACGAGCTCCGCACCTTGATCTGCCAGATCGCGGCAATTGTTAATTCTCGCCCTTTGCTCTCGCTTTCAGAAAATCCTGATGACTTGGATGTGTTGACGCCTGCTCATCTGCTTTTGGGAGGCCCGCATCAGTCAATTCTCGAGCCTGACCTAACGAAGCTCAACTACAACCGTCTGGATGGTTGGCAGCGGGTCACTCATCTGCAGCAGACATTCTGGAGGCGTTGGCGCGAAGAGTATCTGACTCTTTTGCAAGAGCGCTCGAAGTGGCGTACGCCTGCGAAAAACCTCTGCGTCAACGATGTCGTCTTGGTGAAGGATGAGAATCTTCCTCCAATACGTTGGCCACTGGCTAGAGTGGTCGACGTCGTCAAAGGCAAGGATGGAGTAGGCCGCGTGGCTGATTTGAAGACGGCTTCAGGAACCATCAGGAGGGCCGTTACTCGGCTGTGTTTGCTGCCCCTTGAGAAGCCAGTTGAAAGGCGAGCTTCCAACGGGGGGAGTATGTTCGGGCCAGCGGCTACTTAAGCGTCTATCATAATATTAAATGTAGCTGTAACTAGTTGTATAAGAGTATCGAAACCTAAGCTTATGTATGTCCCCAGCGTTCGGCAGTGCTGCTGCGCTCTCCCTGTTAAAGGGCGCTCTGCACCTGCTGCGTCGGCTCTTGCATTGATCGGCCGTCGTGGCCCAAGGAGTTCCATGCTAATCTCTCGCCGCATAGGTTGCATACTGAACCCCCGCTTGTGAACATTTATCTGGCTGGGCAAAAGAGCGAGCAATTGGCTTCAGCTAGCCGCCGGTATAAATAAACATTATAACGTTTAAATCAAAGTCTTTAACTGATTTGGATAAATATAGGTGCCAAAAAAGCTTGGCATCTCAAACACTACTATTTCCGTGATTCGTACTTCTTCGCGTGGTGAGCGGAATAATCCGTCCGCCACTGCGTTTAGCTTTCCCTTTCGATACCGAATTTCGAATGTAAATGGTTGTAATCCCAACGCCCATCTTGCTACTCGGCCGGATGGACTTTCGATGGAATTTAACCATTTTAGGGCTAAGTGGTCTGCTATCACCACGAACTGGTAGCCTTCGAGGTACATTCTCATTTTATGTATTCCCCAGTAGATGGCGAGGCACTCCTTTTCTGTGGCAGAGTACTTCGTTTCTTCATTTTTTAGCTTGCGGTTTGCGTACCTAATTACATGTTCCCCGTCTGCATCCTCCTGCGTCAACACGGCTCCTAATCCGCAGTCGCTTGCGTCTGTTTGCAAGATGAATGTTTTCCTGAAATCTGGGCAGGTCAGGATGGGTGCCTCCGTCAGACAATGTTTAAGATCGTAGAACGCGCTGTCCTGGGCTTCTCCCCATGCGAATCGCTGCCCTTTTTTCAGAAGGTCTTGCAGTGGCTTCGCCCTTTCTGTGAAGGTTGGTACGAACCTTCGGTACCATGATGCTAGCCCTAGGAAACTGTGTAGTTGCTTTAGTGTCGTTGGTGCAACCAGTTCCTTTATGGCTGCTACTTTGTCCGGGTCTGTGTGTATTCCTTCCTAGCTCACCATGTGTTCTAGATATTTTAACTTCTGTTGGAAGAAGTGTCATTTTGCTGCGTTGATGCGTAGATTCGCTTTCCTTAAGCGATCCAATACCTCCTGGAGTTTCTGCATGTGCTCTGCTTTTGTTCGCCCGATTACGATTATATCGTCCAGGTATGCGAAGGCGAATGGTTCCATGTCTAATCCGATGACGGAATCTGATGCCCTTTGGAACGTTGCTGGTGCTGTGGTTAGTCCGAATGGCATTACCTTCCATTGGTACAAGCCTCGCCCGGGGGCTGTGAAGGCTGTGTACTGTCGGCTCTGCCTCTCCATCGGAATTTGCCAGTATCCTGATATTAGATCCAGCGTGCTAATGAATTTCGCCTCTCTGAGTTGGTTTAGTATGAAGTCCATCCGGGGTACGGGGTATGCGTCCTTCTCGGTTTTTTCATTTAGCAGTCTGTAGTCGATGCAGAGTCTCCACTCTCCCGACTTCTTTTTTACCAAAACTATCGGTGAGCTGTATTGGCTTCGTGACGGTTCAATCAGGTTCTGGCGTTTTAGCTCGTTTATCTCTTTGTTGATGATTTCCATTTGCGCTGGGTTCCTTGGATAGTACCGCTGCTTGATTGGTCTATCGTCTTTTAGGAATATTCTATGAGTTGTTATGTTGCTTATTCCTTCGAGGCTGTCGAATTTCTGTACTTCTGTCGTTATCCATTGTTCGATTTCTCTATCCGTTGGTTCTGGATGTGAGTTCCTTGCTCTCTCTTCGGGTCTTTGATTTATTTCCCTTCCACCGATCACCACTGTACTGGTCCCGCATGTAATGACTGTTCCTGCGTCTCTTAAAAAGTCCATTCCGAGTAGTGGAGTGTCCGGTAGCCCATCCATTATAAGAAATGATAATGTCGTTTCCTGGCCCCCTAGCTCTACCTCGGCTAGGAACTTCCGCGTGGTTTTCTGTGTGCTACCGTCTGCCAGTCTGATCAATCTCTCTTCTTTTTCTTCCTTCCCGTTTTTATGCAGCATTCTTGCCGTATTTTCGCTCAAGATACTTCTCGTAGCTCTTCTACTTCCATCCTCTTCCCGCCAATCTTGGCTATCCCAACGAGTTGGTTGTCTTCGTATTTAAGTCTGGGGTGTTCCGCTTTGCGTGTTTTGGGCTCCGGGTGTTTCGCGGGATTGTCCCGGGCCCTGTGCGTTTTCCTGTGGTTTCCTGCAGCAGTCTATCGTCCGTACACCTGCTCTATTGCAGGTCCAACAGTACAATACTGGCTCCCTGGTGCATCCTCTGGCTTCGTGTCCTATTTGTCCGCATCGGTGACATTTTGATTGTCTCCATTGTGGTCGTTGCCAGGGTGTCTGATTATACTACTGCGCATTTGTTGTTTTTGACAGGCCTGCCTCCCTTTCTAGTTTCTCAAATTCCTCCGCTGTGATGATCTATTCCGATAGCGTTTGGAATTCTCTCCTTTTCACGTAGAGCTTTATCGGCAGCCTACAATTTCGGTAAACCATGTCCAGTTTTTCGCTCTCGGTGTAGGTCCCGAATCTCATTAACTTCCTCATGTCCTGCACGAATTCTCGTATGGTCTCCGTTTCTGCTTGTTTTCGTTCCGATACGAGTTTCCCTAGTTCTTCGTGATATTGGGGTGACATGAAGTTTTCCTTCAGCTGGCTTTTCACGTCCTCCCATGTCGTGACGGGGCCTGGTTTTGTGTGCCACCTGGCATTGCGAATACCATATGATCCGCTTCGATCCCATATGTATCTGCTAATTCCTCCATTCGGCTGAGGAATTCTAGCAGCTCTCCATTCCCTGCGAATGTGAGGTCCCATTTTCGTATCTTGTCGATTATGGCTACTGCCCCTGGTGATCCTTTCCGAATCTGTTTCGGAAATAGTGGTTTTTTCTTGGTTGTTTTTCGCTCTCCTTGTGGTTCCTCCATCGTTGGTTTGGTTTGTGGTCTTGGTGATTGTTGTTTTGGGCTCCTGCCTCTCGTTTGGGTTGTTCCGAGCTGTTCCAGCCTTTCCATGACTTCCTTGCTTAGATCCTTCCTTTCTGCGAGTTGCAAGAGTTGCTTCCGCAATATTTCTATCCCTTCAGTCTTTTCCAGCCCAAAGTCCTCGCAGTAATTGATCAGTTCCGCTTTTGTTGCCTGATTAATCCACACTCTTGCCATCTTGACCATCAATGAGATCCCAATTCTATGCTACCACAACCTGCTCGGGCGCCACTGTGACGGCACTTCGGCCGGGGTATGCTCGCCGCGCCGGGGTTCACAGAAATTTATTTGATCTCTGGATGTGGTAGCTGAAAGAGAAGTTCTCCTGGTTCAAGAATAAGGCGACACAAGTGAGAGGACAAAAGTAGGTGGTTATTTTTATTGACTTAAGAATACAGAGTCGAATATGGTTCTCTGGAGGATCCCTGGCTCGGTCTCGAGGTCTTCCTTCAGGGTCGTCAGGGCCGCACGTGGCTACTCGCAGCGTGCAGGTCGGACCTGGTGAGGATCGGCCGTGGAGGATAGTGCGCTCCGAGGGAGCGGAGTTGCGGAGGATAATGCGCTCCGAGAGACGTGTTCGTTGTGGAGGATAATGCGCTCCGTGAGACGTGTTCGTTGCGGAGGATAATGCGCTCCGAGAGAGAAGGCGTTGCGGAGGACAATGCTCTCCGAGGAGAAGTGTGCGTTGCGGAGGATAATGCGCTCCGAGAGAGAAGGCGTTGCGGAGGACAATGCGCTCCGAGGATAATTTTGGGGAGACAGAGGAAAATGCGCTCTGCACTCTGCAATGCACTCTGACGAGGAATCCGAAGAAAACAGCAAAGATTACCGGGTAGAGGAATCGTACGCTCTAACACGGTGATCAATGCATTCCAAATGAATGGACGGTGTATAGCAAGGAGAGTTGGGTTCTAGAGGAATCGTACGCTCTGAGAACCACAGCAATCAATGATTACCAAAAGCCTTGGGGAGCGAATCAACCCTTGGCAGTCCAAGAATGGATTGGTCCTGATGGCTCTGGCGTGGCTGCTTTTATTGCCAAAAGTCAGCTGTTGGCTCCCTTCTTTGGCACTAGCGCGTTGTCACGATCAGCTGCTAGTGTGGCCGTTTGGTTCTGAGGGCTGGGACCACTGTTGGCGCGTGGATTTGAATGCTGGAGTGTGGCCGTTTGTGATTATCGCTGGTCACACTGTTGGCGCGCGGATTTGAATGTTGGAGTGTGGCCGTTTGTTAGGATCGCTGGTCCCATTGTTGGCGCGTAGATTTAAAAGTCGTGAGATCCTTTTTTTGTTTTGTTTTTTGTTTAATTAACTAAATCTTCATGGATTTTTTCTCTTATGTATCTAGGTAAATGTTTATATGTTTATATATGTTCATGGATTTTTCTCTTATGTATCTAGGTAAATGTTTAGAAATGCTAACTGCAATGAAATGATAATGAGGACTATGCTGCTGTTATTGTGACGCTTGGTGCTGCTGGGCTTGGCGTCACAAGTGCAAGATTCAGGCACGTAAAATCTGCTTTCCTGAAGAAAAAAATAGACGGTGGCTTAACGGGAGTTTTGATGGGATCAGAGGAGGGCAACTGCACGGAAATTTCAAGTGTGGGATGATAAGGATCTTCTGGGAAAGATAGAGGAGACCCTCTGCAGACCATGGTATTCGATATGTCGGAAGAAAACACGAGATCGAGAAGTCTACCCAAGTTATTGGATATAGCCTTGACCTGACCCAGCGATGTATCCGACAATGAATCAACAAAATCATGCTGAATAGATGGGAACATCAGGTTAGAGTCAACAGAAGGACACCATGATATATTAGGTAGATTAAAGTCTCCAAGGACTATAAGACGATCAGAGTCGTTAAGTTGGGACGCAATAGACTGAAGATGGGAAACGTGATGCATATAAGTGGAGAATTCGGAGGACGGCGGAATGTAAGAGCAGGATATAAAGAGCTTAGAAGAGGGCCAGCAAAGCTTAACAACAATAATTTTAATGTTATTAAGCCCTTCGACGTGAACGATTTGGGAAGCTATGGTCGAACGAACAGCAATCAGGACTCCGCCGCCACGAGATGGCTATCATACCTATATATGTTAAATTTGTCAATGAGAATCTCGGAGTCATAAATAGAGGAGTTGAGCCAGGTTTCGGAAAAAGCGATTACATCAGTCTCAAAAGATGCACTGTCAGTATATAGCTTGTTAAGCTTACTGCCCAAGCCACGAGCATTCTGATAGGTTATCTTAAGGGAAAGAGCCGAAATTAGTTTTTTGAGGCCGGGGGTAAAGTTGCCGGAGATGGAGTTGGACGGACAGAAGTTAAAGCAGTCGGAGATGAAGTTGGAAGGACACCCACTCGTCTTTTCGGGCTAGAGGAACGATTAATAAACACATGACAGATAGTATGTTCAGGCCAGAAAGAGGGGTCGAGCACACTACTGACATGTTTGTCAGGAACGAGTATTTTGAAGGAAGATATGTTGCGTTTAACTTTAAAGTTAAATTTAGTGACAACAAGATCTGAATAATCATCAATGTCAAGCTTAGAAAAGATAAAGTCCCTGACCAGGACATCCGTAGCCGATGCCATCAGTCGAGAAACGAAAATAGATTTTAGTGGGGCGACAGCAGTTAGGATAGAAAGAGGGATTGTATAGAACCGGCGGACCAGAGTTGACGGCCGCAAATTCATTATGAGTTTGTCTCATAAAAACTCGCATGTCGCTTTCAATCTGCCTTCAGTCCCAGCAAGTCCAGTTAGGGCCACAGCGAGACCTAATTAAGTCGACCACGCGTCCACCAATTTGGCCGAGGTCAGGGCATACCGTATGAGCCATGTTGTCACACAGCCAGCAGTAGGTGAAAATTTGCTTTACGGCTACCGAGCGGCCCTTTTTGGCACAGCAAGTACTCATTATAAGAGTGTAGACCGAAAGAAAAAGGAAAATAGGTGGGGAAAAGGTAGCAATCAAGTCGGTGTTTATGGTAAAGCTGTCTCACACGCTCGAACACTCAGATAAACGCACAAACAAAAACAAAGATCGCAAAAACAACCATAAGCGTTCTACGGTGGCCGCTCGAAGCGGAGTTAGCAATCAAAGCTTAAGCACAGAGAAATGAGATAAACACAGAGAGACGAAATAAACACAGAGCTTTGGAAGGCACGGAGAGGCGACGTAACTGAGAGCGTCAGTGCAAGAATATATGAAGAAACGCTAAGAACGGAGATAGAACGGAGTGAAGAGCGGCTCAGAGAGAGTGCATCGAGCAAACGTCAACAACAACAACAAAGCTGTGAATACGAATGCACGGAAGAAAAGAAAAAGAGCGATTGACTTTAAATATGAAATTAAAACACAAAAATACGCTAACTAAACGAGCACAGGTAGTGGACAGATAACACGGTCAGTTTACAACACAGTTTCAATTCAGCGTCGAAAATAAAACTTTGTTGTAGGAGCGAAGTAGAACACGACCATCTGCCACGATAGATATCGAAGTCATGATATATCGTTTCTTTGAAAAATAACCTATCGCATCTTACAAATACATTGCTGAATTCATACGCATCGCATACCATTTACTAACAAAATAATAAATAAATAATACATCTTTCAACTAATCACGGTTAAAATTAACATAATATCAAAAAAAAAAAAAAGATGATGACGCAGATGCAGAGGGCCATTAGCATTAACGGACACAGCTGCGACTGTGAGAGTGAGCAGGAGAGAGCGAGAGATGGCATGACAGTGAGTGGCAAGCTCAGATCTGTGGCAGCTGTGGGCACATAGCCATAACCTAGAAGTACTCCTTGCCGAGTCGCGTGCGCTCGTCCGGCTTGCGCCTGCGATTGGTCACCCCATCCGACTCGTCCATCATGTCCTCGAGCATGCGCTCCTGCCGCGGATTGAGCGCCGCCAGATGGATGTCCCTGGTGGCACGAAACTTGCCGCAGTTGTACAGATGCTCGTTCTCCAATCGCACGTAGTTCCAGATGAAGCGCCTGCTGGATGGATCGACATGGCAGGGTATAGTGTTGTACAGTGGGAAGAGCCGCCCTCACTCACCGCGTTATCTCCAGGAGACTGGCCAGAGTTCTGGCATTGTAGGGCGTCATCAGGTTGTGGTAGTAGAACGTGAACTCGATCACCCAGAACCAGCGCAGCAGCAGATTCTCGACGATGACAAAGTAGTAGAAGGACTGCGGATAGACGAGATGCTCGCGCAGGAAGATGTGCTCCCCCTTGCGGATGCGGAACAGGCCAAAGTCCTTGATCACATCCCACAAATAGCAGTACACGGTGGACACAATGGAGGCGGCCAGCAACAGCCACGTGTACGGATTGGCGAACGTGTGCGCATACCGATCTATGGAAGGGTGGCGAGGGGAGAATGGGGGAAACGTGAGTGGGAATCTGTGGTGGATCGTGGGTGGGGGATGAGGCTCGCACCATCCGTACGATTGCGCAGCGTGGAGAAGAGCACCACGAAGAATGTCGTCGAGTACTTCCCGGAATTGAGCAGATAGGTGACGGACTTGGAGCCGCTGTCCCGGAATCGGCGCAGGCACTGCGCCAGCCGAAACCAGGAGGGCAGGCAGCTCATGAACGGCACCATCAGATCGGCGGTGAGGTACGGCGGCACCGCCCCCTCCCGCAGCCAGTAGGTGGTGTAGAAGCGCACAATGTAGTAGTGATCGACGAGGCAGGTGACCAGCGAGTTCAGCTGATCGCCCATCCAGAAGTCGGCGAAGCCCACGTAGTGCAGCGGCGCCGTCATCACCCGGCCCAGCAGTCGCATCGTCCACCAGCGTGCCGGCCAGTTCATGATCGGCAGCGGTATCACCAGGAGCAGCAGCATGATGAGGATCAGCGCCAGCGGAAAGATGAACGGATCGTGCACATGCAACGGTACGTGGTAGAGGAAGCCGAGCATCGAGAGCGTCCACAGTATGCCGAAGGTGCAGGCGATCTCCAGGAAGGTGGCCGGCTGCAGATGGCTGCGCGGATCAATGTCGAATATCAGCACATGGTTGACGCCCGACCGCTGCCACCCCGTCACATTGGCGGCCATAAAGAAGTTGAAGATGACCCAGGTGAAGGGTCCCCGGTACAGGCTCATAAAGGCCAAAAGGTTTGCCTGCGACGGCGGCCGCCTCCAGTCTACAGATACAGATTGTGATTGAGAGAGAGTGGGACAGAGAGAGAGGTGTCACATAGTGACCTACAGCTGATCGCAGTCGCAATGAAAAGCATCACGAACATGCCGAGCGCGAAGCCACCCCGAAAGACCATCTGGGCGGGCGTCGGCTGGCCCAGGGGTGGCACACGCAGCTTGTTCATCGCCTTTGAGCGATCGCCCGCCGCCAGATAAAACGTGTACAGATCCTCCACCTCCATGACCATGCGCAGCAGCGATCGCTGATCGGTGAAGGGCGCCTGCGCTATGTGCCGCTCGAACCAGTCTGCGCCGGAGTTGGACTTCAGATACTTGTCGTACTTCTTGCAGATCTTGCGGAAGCCCGTCTCGTTGAGCGACTGAAAATTCTGGAGCAGCACCAGGCTGAGATAGAACTCGCTGTAGGCGGTGCGCAGCTGCCGCTGGGTCATCACCTTACGGCTGCCCGATGTATTGACCGGATCCGGCCGCGTATGCTGCTCCGCCGCTGCTGTTCGCTGTGAGTTCAGTGATATGGCACTGGACGTATGCCCGGGCACCCGGGCGGAGGCGAGCAGCTGCAGCTTGAGGGTAGCATGCTTACGACGCGCCTCCGCCAGCTTCTCCATGAAGAAGTTGTTGACGCGATCCAGCTCGTTGTGGCACTCGGTGAAGAAGGCCTCCTCGAAGGCCTTGTAGTAGCTCTCGACGCCGTATTCGTGCGATGGGTCCGAGATGCGGCCTCCGTCCACACCCTGCCTGATCATTGCCTTCAGATCCTGCAGTTGTACGGCAATGGGAATTGGGGGATTCAGATTCGATTGGGTTGGGTTGGGTTCCCCATTGAATTTGAACTGCCGCTCACCGTATATCGCATGTACTGCTGTCGCCATTCGATGGTCAGATGCGTCTCAAAGGTTTTTCCAAACTTCATCTTGGGAGCGTTTGCCCCACAAGCGGCGCAGGAGGCGTCCCAGCTCAATGCCCGGAGCTAGCTGCGACAGTTCAGTATCTCATCAGTCAGGGCCTGCAAATTCTGACATTCTTCTCTATAGTAACTCAACCAAATCCAGCCCGGCCGAGCCTTATCTGATTGTTGCCGAATGAGTTGTTCAATTTTCTATGCTCCACGCAAGGAGAGGGAGCTCTGGATTCACTTTCCATTGTTCCCCTTGGCAGACCCCGCTCTCAGCGCACTATCTGCGCAGTATGTGAGTCACTTCCTCGATCTCGATTATGCGTGGTTCACACGCTAGGTCGGCTGACGGTGACGAGTGACTCAGAGAGCGAGTGTTCTCGTTGGATGAGCCAAAATTGTTGTAAGTACAGTTAAACCGAGGCGATAACGATCAGGCGGGATTTTATTTATCGAATCTTCCCTATTAGAGACATACGACAAGTATACAAATCTTAGCCTAATATATTTATTTAATTAATTACACTTAATTACTTAGAGTACGTCTCTAGCTAAGTATTATTGCTGGGTGGGGAGGTCTCATTTTCATTCCGTATGTACCATGGTGCCCCAGTGATAGTTCTTAGTATCTTCGATTGAGCTCTCTGGATTATTTCTAAATTACTAACGCAAGCATTCCCCCTCGGAGAACTACCATCTTGCCGCGATGAGGGGGCTTAGTAAGCGTAAGGAACCCAAGAGCTTTACTGGCGGTAGCGTAATGCTGCCAGAAGGGCCACCCAAGCCAGGCAGGTCTTGGGGGAGCGCCGAAGCTAAAAGTAGTTCACCCTGGCGGTAGGGATAAAACGCATCCGTTATGGGGGAATGTCCAGTAACGAAGAACCAGTTAAGGTGCAGGGAGTCGGAGACCCAGTACCGGCGGTGATTGGGGGTGCGAGCGCAGGCCCCCCGGCGTCGATATCCTGTGACTGCAGGAAACCCGAGATGGCAGTGGAGTGCTTGGCTGCCAAATCGTGTAATGCCACAAGCAACAGAAGGATCCGCAGGCAGAAAGGGACGATAGAGGATCTGGAACCGGGAACCACAGACGGAAGCTTCGTCTTCACTGGTCCCTCAGTGTCAGAGGCAGAGTTGGCTACCGCCTTCTCTCGACTCGGATACAACGAGGAGCCGCAGAAGGCGGAGCCACAAGTCACGGCTCCCAATATCCAGGTCGACTCGGGTCCACTACCTGTGACGGATGAGAAGACGGAGGCTGAGACCCTACGCAAACGGCTGTCGGGATACAGGGCATCGGCAAAATACCTCCGTGGTATTAGCCAAAGACCCCCCGATACGCTGACGGCGAGGGAAAGGAGCCTCAAGAAGAAGCACGAGCAAAACGTGCGGAGGTACGAGCGGCTTAACGGAGTCGCTCCTACCAACGGAGACAAAGCCCCCCCAAGCGCACACGCGGCGGTGACTGAGGACCCCAAACCGTCGACTTCAGCGTCAGCATCAGCTGGCACGAAGACGAAGGTGGACCAACCCTCAACGTCATCGTCTGCGAACGCGCGAGGGAGAAAGGGGAAAAAGTTGTCCGGGAAGCAGAGGGGGAAGACCACACCTCTGACGCAGAACACGGCGAGTGCCAAGGCACCACCAACGCCCTCTGTACAGAAGGCACCGGTGGAACCGACTGGTCGAGAGCCAAGAACGGACGACTCCACAAAAGCTTCCGAGTCGAAGAAGGCGAAACCAGAGGACATTCTGGCCAGCCTAGGATCGCCAGCCGAGCTGCAGGTAGCCATTATCGACCAAAGTCACCCAGAGGGGAAGATATCGGACGTAAATTGGCTGAAGGCAGAATCGGAGATCCTGACCGCCATGAAGGATGCCATTGTGCGCGCAGATAACCCGTTTGTCTGCGAGTTCAAGGGTATCAAGTGGTATAAGGGAGCCAAAGCAGTGGCCTGTGGCAATGCAGAAACTCTTGAGTTTCTCAAAACCACGGTCCAAGGTTTTGGTGAACTTTGGCCAGGAGCGGCACTCCGCGTGGTCCCGACGGATCAGATTCCCAGGAGAACGATCATGAAGGTGTGGATTCCTCCCCCGATTAAGGCGGATGAGGACACACTCGTTCTGATCAAGGCACAGAACCGGATCCTGGAGACATCGGACTGGACCATCACAAGAGCGATAGCGCGAGACAAGGGGAACGGCAAGGAACTCTGGATCAGCATTGGTCAAGAAAGCCTGGCCAAACTCCTTGCAACGGACTGCCGCATATCCTTTGGTATGGGCACCCTGGCGGTAGCAGTACCGCGACACCCCAGGTCCGCTGAACAGCATGAAGGTGGTGCAGATTAATCTGCATCACTCAAGTGTACCATCGGCGGACCTGCTGCGGTTTATGGAGGAGAAGGCGGTGGACGTGGCCCTCATCCAAGAGCCCTGGATCGTAAGTGAAAGGGTTCGGGGACTGAACGGTCGCGGATACCGCCTTCTCACGCCACACCCCGCGGGTAAGCCAAGAACCTGTATCGTGGTAAGGAACGAGCTTAATGTTCTGTTTTCTTCCAGGTACAGCACTCCGGACCTAACGGTGGCACTATGTGAGAGGGAGGACGGGAAAAACCTATACCTAGCCTCTGCATACCTGCCGTACGAAGAGGAAGACCAACCCTCGGAGGATGTCAGGGCCCTGATCCACCAAGCGCGGAGGGAGGGACTTGATATTGTCTTAGGCTGTGACGCGAATGCCCATCACTCCCTCTGGGGAAGTACGGGCACAAATTCCAGAGGAGAGTCGCTGTTCGAGTACATTCTGTCCACAAATCTTGTTGTGTGCAACCGGGGAGACCACCCCACCTTCCGCAACAGGAACCGTGCAGAGGTTATAGATATAACACTGGCCTCGAATAGCGACTCCCTTACCATCGATGACTGGCACGTGTCCAGTGAGTGTTCCTTTTCGGACCACTACAGGATAGTGTACAGCATCAAATGGAACAAGGAGAGGCCCAAGGCCTACCGCAACCCCAAGCGGACAGACTGGAACCGCTTCTCCGCAACCGTACAGAAGGTGCTGCCTAACCCACCGGAAGGGGACATAATTCAAACGGAAGCACTAGAGAAAGCTACGCAGACCGTCACTAATGCTCTACAGATGGCGTTTCTCAAATCCTGCCCGATCAGCCGACCCCCAAAGTCCAATCACAACCCGTGGTGGACACGGGAGTTGAGCGAAGTCATAAAGGAATCGAGGAAACTCTTCAATAAAGCAAAAGTGACAAACACACAGGAAAGTTGGGACGAGTATCGCCGCAGCTTCAATACCTACAAAAACACCTGTAGGAGGGCGAAAAGAGAATCATGGGCAGCCTTCTGCGATGCCATAGATGGTACCACTGAGGCCTCAAGGCTTCGACGCGTACTGTCGAAGGCACCCACCACACCAGGCCTGCTCCGCAGCCAGGACGGTACCTTCGCAGAGAGCAGCCAAGAATCCCTGGAGCTCCTCATGAGTACTCACTTCCCGGGTTGCTCAGATGTCACCGGTGACGAATCCAACGCCACCAACGACACTGAGGATCATCCAGGAGAGGAACTCGAGGATCTCATACGAAATATAATGGCACCAGACAAGATTATCTGGGCCATTAAATCATTCAGTCCCTACAAGTCACCGGGACCGGATGATATCCGACCAGCCATGCTGCAAGCAACTTGCCTGCACCTACTACCATGGCTGAAGAAAATATTCGAAGGATGCCTCCTAACTGGGTACGTCCCCCATGGGTGGAGGGAGGTGAGAGTGGTCTTCATCCCCAAGGCCGGGAAGATAAACCACATCTCCCCAAAGGACTACAGACCCATCAGTCTGTCGTCATTTTTGCTTAAAACGATGGAGCGACTGATGGATCTATATATAAGAACCAAGCTAGACAAACAAGTGTTCAGTGGAGCTCAGCACGCCTACCTCAAAGGTAGATCAGTTGAGACCGCACTACACGAAGTTGTTGGGCATATCGAAAAGAGTCTAAGCTATAAGGAATATGCCTTGGCGGCCTTTCTAGATATAGAAGGGTCTTCAACAACGTCAGGATCGAGTCAATAACGGCCGCACTGGCCAAGATTGGCACACACCCGACGGTAACCGGATGGCTAGACAGCGTTCTCAGAAGCAGAACGATAAGCGCCAATCTAGGCTCCTCCTCGTCAAGAAAGACGGTCACACGAGGTACTCCGCAAGGGGGAGTTATATCCCCTCTACTGTGGAACCTGGTCCTCAACGACCTCCTTCTTCAGCTGGGGAGGAGCGGATATAAGGTTACGGCCTATGCAGACGATTTAGTAATACTGGTAACGGGTAAATTTCTGCCCACAATCAGTGACCTTCTGGAATCTGCACTGGGCACTACCGCCAGCTGGGCACACCAGAACGGTTTGGGGGTCAATCCTCAAAAACAGAACTGGTGCTGTTCTCACGAAGATATAAGATACCGAGTTTCAAACTACCAGCAATCGGTGGAACGACACTCGAAGCTATCGAGCGAAGCCAAGTATCTTGGTGTCATCCTTGACTCCAAACTCTCCTGGAAGAGAAACACGGAGGAAAGGAAGAAAAAGGCAATGGCAGCTTTCTACACCTGTGCGTGATCGTG